TGACTACTTGTGATTAAGTAAAGGACCCTTATTCCAGTCACCATTACAGAAAATCAACAACATTGGGACTTTTTACTATCTAACGAGATTAATCTAAAACTGGTTTCACTAAACCAAGATCTTCTCACTAGATTTTTATAGGTGGTGGTGGTGGTGATGAAACGAAGGTGAAAGTAGAGATTGTGACATAGTGGTGGGGTGATGGTGGCAGTGATGATGGTAGTGGCTATGGTGATGGGAGTGTGACAGTGAAGGTGAGAATAGTGGTGATGGTGTTGTGAAATTAGTAAAAAATTAATTGAAAAAATATTTTTTGTTTTTTAAAAGTAACAAACAACAAAATTCGTGAGGGACTAAAGGAAGAAGATGAAGGATGGATTGCGTGTGGTAAGGCATAGATATCTTAAAATGAGTGGTTCAAATTTGTTAAAAGGTATAATTAGATTTTGAATAAATTAAAATGAATGGTTCAAATTTGCTAAGAGAAACATGATTTAATGTCTAAAATGTCTGTGCCTAAGAAATCAACAAACAATTCCTTATTTATGCCCTGATGCAATTTAATATAGGTCTTATAACACTTTCTTCAAACAGGTTCTTTCACATTTTATTTCTTTAAACAGGCTCTTATAACATTTTAATCAGGTTCTTATAACATGTAGGGGAGAGAGTGAGAGTGAGAGTGAGAGAGAGAGAGAGATGGATGTAATTTTTTTTTTATTCCACGTTCTTCCACATTTTTTTTTCAATTACTAAAACTTATTTGATTGTCTCAAAATTATATATTTGATTATTATAAAACAAACTTTTTAATTAATTAATTAATATGTATTTGATTTTGTTGTTGAACCAAATAAAATAATATAAGATTGAATGTATATTTAGCTTTTGTTGTGAACCTTAAAAAAAAAAATAAAAAAATAAGTTGTTAACATTAAATATATTAAAAAAGAAAGAAAAAAGATTGAAGGTATATTTAGCTAAAACCTTAAAAAAAAAAAAAGTTGTTAACATTAAATATATTAAAAAAGAAAGAAAAAAAGATTAAAGGTATATTTAGCTTTTGTTGTGAATCTTAAAAAAAGAAAAAAGAAAAAAAGAGTAGTTGTTAACATTAAATATAAAAAATAAAAATAAAATAAAAATGGGGATTAAAGTGGGTTGGAGAAAATCCATACCCATTAAGAAATGGGGAGGGTGGTACCCATGGGAAATGGGGAATCGGGAAAATTTATTATAGGGGAATGGGGATGGGGAATTAATATCTACTCCATTAACCCCCATTGTCATCCCTACTTGGTATGGCTTGCATTGCGTGCAACCAAGTTCTTTCCATAATCAAGTTGTATGACAATGGAAGTTTTACAACCAGAAACTCCACGTCGAGTGTCCTAGTGCCTGCACGCACTGCGACCCTGACCTTGCCCTGAGGGTATTCGGGATTCGCGGTGAAGCCGAACATGGGGTATTCTGCCGGCAGGAGGTCTGATACTGTGAAGCCGAGTTTAAGAAACGTCTTGTAGTACATTATCTCTAATGTGCTCCCCTGATCTATCAAAATGCATTCAACAACAAATTTGTTGACGCATAACTCGATAACGAGAGGGTTGTCATAGGGAAGGACCAACCCTTCAAAATCTTTGTCGTCGAAGCTAATCTTGCCAGTTGAATAAGGCCGTTTAGCTGGTGTGAGCGGCTTGGATGGGCATGGTTGAGGTTGCTGAGACTGAATCGCATGGACGCTATTTGGTGATGGAAGACTATAAATCATATGAATTACTCCCAGTGGTGGTGACTCCGGGCACAAGGCTACTGTGTTGGATGCATTGACCTTTCGTGGGAGGTATTGACCTAGTCGGTCATCTTGCACTAACTCTTCGAGATGATCTTTCAAGGCGTAGCACCTGTCGGTTTAGTGCTCATGGTCTTTGTGGTAATCACATTGCCGATCCCTTCGCCTTGCGTCGGGGGGGCCAATCATCTTGGTCGGCCATTTAAAGAAGGGTAGGTGCTGAACTTTGGGTAGTATTTTGCTGATCGGCTCGGTCAACTCGGTATATTTCTTGTCAGACCGCGTGGGGCGCCTGCTCTCCACCTAATATTGTTTGCTCGATCGGCATGAACGTCGCTCCCTCGATCGGCGGCTGTCTTGGCGACTTTCTCGTTTTGGCCTACTTCGTGGCTCAGGCTCCCTTGTGGCGAGACTACATTTATCGGCTACACCAGGGTGGGTGCCGCCGTTTCCATGACCTTCTGACCTGCTTTGACGCAGAGTGCATCATCCTCCACTTTGTAGTACTCCTCAACCTTCTTCATCAAGGCCCACACAGTTTTAGGAGGTCGCCTTGTCAATGAGCTCCGGAGCGGACTGTTAGGGTGTAAACCCATCTTGAAGGCAGTGATGGCCATGGAATCATTGCAGGCGTCGTCAACCAGGTTGAAACATTCCCAATAACACGCTGAATACTCATGGAGAGTTTCTTCCGGATTGATTTGCATCGCCCAGAGTGAGTTGGCTTGCTTTGGCTGAACCTTGTTGGTGATGAATCTTGCCCGGAAGGATTTTTGGAGCTGATGAAAACTTTTGACTGAGGTTGGTTCGAGTTTATAATATCCCCGGATTGCCAACGGACCTAGGCTGCTTGGGAACATGCGACACATAAACGCCTCATCGTCAGCGTGCAACGTCATTGCCTGCTTGTAATGGCGAATGTGATCCGTACGATCTGATTTACCGTCATACAACGTAAACGTCAGTGCCTTGAATTTTTTAGACAAGACGACCCTTGCAATTCGTCGTGCGAAAGAATTATGTCTATCTTCTCCATCTGAATCGTCACCTTTTCCTTGTCTGTGGCGCATGTATGGACTCCCTTTAGATGAGCTAAAAGCGCTAATACACTCCTTTTTTTTGGGCTCTTGAGTTGATGAGTCGAAGGCGGTGCTACTATCGTGCCTCCGATGTCGACGTCGTGGATTATCTTTCTTCTGTTCCGGCGACCGACCTCGTTCGAGATGCTGTGTGGTCTGCTAAGATTTGGCTAATTCCAAAGCCAGCTCTTTACGTAATCGTTCGTTGTCAGCCGCCATCTCTTCTAGTCGTTATTTCATTTTGCCTGGTCCATTATCGTCTGCATGGTTTGCTGCATCGAGGTTGAAGGTGAAGACTGAGTTACTGCGTCGAAATTCAAAGCTCTTTTTGCGGTGATGTTCTCCGGACCAAGCATGGTTCTTGGTGTAACATCGTCAGCCACCAATGGAGGATCATCTGTTACGTCTGTCATGAACAAGCTCTAGTATTTCCACAGACGGCGCCAATTGTGGTGTGATGGTTTTAGGAATACTCCATTGTCCAAGAACAGAAAAAAAAAATATATCCCCCACCTCTGTCCTCCTCTCTTTTCTTTTATATTGTTTCCCTAGTGACCCTCCAAGGGCCCACTGCTCCCTATTGGGCTTTGACCCCATTCATGGACCCGCTATATAGCCCATGGGATAATTGACTCAGATGGCCCTTTAAGCCTGGTTTCATTCGGCTTTGGCCCACTGGACCTGATATGGGCAACTTGTCTGTGACCATGGATTCGGCGTATTTCGCCGACTCGTACTATGCCAGCCCAGGACTCAATTTCATTTATTCGGCTACCACAGATAGAAAAACTAGAAAAGATATATTTTAGTTGCATCTCTGTACCTAAAAGGGGAATCCTTAGCATGATTTTAAATAATTACTTTTGCATAGGTATTTCAAATCCACTATGATCAAGCTCTTTAATTTAATCTTCACATATTTGGGTAAACTATCAAATCTAAATTTGAGTTATTCTACTTACTTTATCCTTAAATGAATAATGTCAAATCCATGCATTTCAAATTCACAAATACAAACAGAGCATAAAAATTACGATTGTCACCATTGATAATAAATAATGCATAGATCAACAATGGTGCTCTATTTGGTGCATTGGAATGAGATGGAATGGCAATTCCTTAGGCTTTCTTAGGGAATGATCATTCCCTTAACATAGTGAAATACGATCCCGTTTGTAATGCATTTGTCATTATATTTTTAGTTTAACCAAACATAGGAATGAATATTTTGATAGAATGATCATTCCATTCCGATTCATTCTAATGAACAAAACACTACCTAAGGGTTATGAAACCAAACTTATATGGAGTTCTTCTCCTTCCTATTCCTAGATAGATCATTTAACACACAATAACTCGGCTCATAACCCAAAAAATTACCCACCCAAACACAACTTAACCAAGTGTTCAATACGGGTTCAGTTTAGTTTCACTAGAACTTAAAATGGGTGTATTTTCTTTTCATAGAGCTATTAAAAATTTCAGCATGTAAAGCAAGAAATCCTTCCCATTATTCATATAATATAATCACCCAAAAAGAAAAAAAGAAAAAAAATCCTGATTTTGACCGAAAACTGATAATTCCATTTTCATGTGGCTTTGAGAGAGAAAGAGAGAGAGAAGAATACAAGTCTTTGCAGCCTGATTTTTACAAATTCAACAATGCTAGCTACATCAATGTAAGCAATTCTACCGCTCTATTATAACACATGGAACACATACCACTTGCCATGTTCCTTGCTTAAATTGCAACTGGTTAATTCATTAGTTTTGGTTGGGATTGCAGCTAGATCTTCACAAGACCAAAACCCCACGTTAAAACCCACCAACTCCCAAAATCCCAACAAAAACCCATTTTCCCAGTTCTCCAAACCAATCCCACTCAACACTCCCCCCCAATAGATCTACATATCTAATCTTGAAGATACTCAATTTCACTCCAACACAACCGCATTTTGTGACCCTAAAACCCTGACAATTGACCAGGTCCACAATAACACTAGTTCAAACACCATCTCTCATTCATCCCCATTTCACTAAATCAAACTTGTTTACCAATATATACTTACCATTTTATGCATATATATATATATATATAGAGAGAGAGAGTGGGGGGGGGAGAGAATTGCCTGAAAGAAAGTGGAGGAAATGCCGACGAGGAAAGTGGCGGCGGCCCAGAGGAAAGCGCCGAGGGCGATGACGTGGGCACGGTTGTGACGGACAGCGAGGTAGGCGGCGAGTGGGTAGCAAGCCGACTGTACTATGGATCTGAATAGAGTGAGGGAGCCGAGCCCAGTTGGGTCGGTGTGGAGAGCCGCACCGACTTCCTTGTAGACTCCAGGAAGCAGAGACTCGTCGGCTCTCTCCATAATCCCAGCCAGATTCACCAATAACAGCGTCAACGTCTCTGATTTCATCATCATCACCATCTCTCTGTTTCAAAGCAATCCTCTGTTTTTTTGCTGTCTTTTTTTTCTTCTTTTCTTTTTTTTTGAAGCGTGAAGAAGGAAGGTAACGGCGAGGAAACGCGTTAGGAGTGGGTGGGAATCAAGATCCTCTCCCTAAATCTCCTTGACTTCCTATCTGCTGGGCGATTGGAAACCGTTTATATTTTAAAATTTGTTAGGTATATTATATCTGTAAAAAAGTTAATCGAACATCAAAAAATATGTATTTAGAAAATTATTTATTAATTTTTTTAAAAAAATAGTTTTTTGTTCGATGATTCAAATATGTAATTTTTGATATTTGATTAACTTAATTTTTTATAAATATGATATTCTCAATAAATCTTAAAATATGAACGAATCAAATTATCAAAATTAAGTCTAAAAATAAGTCTAATAACCTATCAAGTAAAGAATTAAGAAGAGAAATTAAGGAGAGAATCTTGATTCGGTGGGAGTAACCTTTCTTTTGCTTTTAATGGAAGTAAATAGAAACGGTGGTAAGATTTAGACCAATAAAAACTGTAGCAAGAATTTTGGGACAGTCCGAAATTAATGTGTCTAATAATTCCGATCACATGGTGTCTATACTGTAAAGTGGAATCTCTGGATTCTCTTCGGATACCTCCGATAAAATAGGAATTGCTAGATTCCCACCTGGATTCTCTCCTTAATCCTTTTTGGTTATGTTTATTTGTCTAATGATCTGTTTAGATGAGATTATGAATATAAAGACATACTATAACATAATATAGAATTGAGATTATTAAATCATGACTTCACAATTTTATATTTGATTATAAATTTTATTAATTGAATTATATAATATTACGAAATTGGTAAATTTTTAATATTGAGAATGGTTAAAAATCATAATTTCTAGTATGAAAGAAAAAAATAAAATAAATACATAATAAATGATTATTTTACTAATTTAATTGAATAACTAATCCTGCACGAATGTATGGGATTATTTATCTTTTCACTGTCAATCATGTCAATCAAATAAGATCTACTAGTATTAGATTCAACATGTAACATGAATTATATTTGGTTAGTTGAGATTAAATTTATTAAATTACATAAAAATTCTCATTATCGAAAAGATAATTTTATCATTTTTGTAAAATGAACAATTCTTGCATTAGCAATCTCAAATTCTCCATGATAATGCTAATCTCATCAGTAGGGTTTCATAATCCCATAACATTTTAAAAATCAAGCATGAGGGGTTTTTTTTTTAAGGTTTAAGGATTAATAATTGAATCCCATATCTCTAAACCCCTAATCTTAAACTTACTTTACTTTTTTTAATTTATAATTTTATATTTAGAGTTTTAATTAAAAAAATTATATTTAATATTTCTAAATGATGCAGGTATTCATATAATTGGACCAATTAGAATCAACTAGTGTATTTTCATTTTCTAATATTTCTTTTTTTATGAGAAGACAAGATTATTATAATTATTATTATTTTTTGCTCGACACATAAGTTTCGTTTGAAAAGTGGATTGACTTTTTTATTTTTAGCCTCAGTTAAAAAATCTCGTTTGGCTTGAATTTTTTGACTTTTTCGATTTTTGTAAAAGAAAAAATAAAATGACTATAATTTAAAAGTAATATTTTGTCTAATTAATTTTTTAACTTATTTTACATTTTCATGACTATTTTAACCTATTAATCCCATGCCAAACGAAGGCATATACATATAGGATGGTTGAGCTCAATGAGTTGGCATATTAACATTTAGAAGTACAGTTTTAAGCACATAAATTTTAGGGAGAATAACACTGTAGTGGTATCAATGTAATTCAATGTAATTTAATTATATATTAATAAAAAAATTTATAATTTTAATTATTAATATTTATAATATCTTTTATTTACTTGTAAATATTTTTTGACTGAAATTGTGTAATTCTGCTTAAATTTTATCATTTCTTTATTTTTCTTAGTACAATAAGAAAAAGAATATACCAAGAATAAAAACATAGCATACCTAGGAGGGGGCTACTAGGATTCAAACCTCAGGTACAACCAATTACACCGGTTCTAACCACTAAGATGATCCAGTGGCTCTTATTATTTTCGTTATTTATTTACTTATTTATTTTTGAAAACAATTAAAACTGCATATATATAAAGATCGAAGAACATAGATAGTCCCTTATAGAGAATTGAACAAACATAGAAAAATATCAAAAACTAATTCTAACAATGCAAATGCAAGAGCCAGTTTCATTAGCACGTCCAAACGAAGATTGTGAATTCTTTACCAGCAACCTCACACGGCAAGCCTCAACAACAAATCCCTGCAAAAATATTAGAACACATCCAATAGACACATAAGTATAAGAATAAGAACAAATTACTAGATTAGATAGTTCTATGCCAAGGAGGTCGAAAAAGACTGGGCTTGTTGCCGCTGTTTTCAATGCATGGCTCTCTCTTGCGTTTGCCAAGATCAAGATCATAGGGCAGAAGTCTTGGTGCTCGAATTCTCTTTGGGCCTCCTACACGGAAATTCCCAACGTGCTCAAGAACTGGTGCTAGCAACTAAAGTCTTGGTGCTCGAATTTTTTTAGGGCCTTCTACACGAAAAATCTCAACTTGCTCCGAGATCAGATCTAGCAGTTGCGCTTCATGTACTATTGAGACAGGGGCTGCTTGTTCCAACAGAAAAATATCGTTAACCTATTGTGATTGTGGCTCAAGGACACTCGGGTGATGTTCATTAGGTTGCACTTCAACAATAAGATCTTCAGCCATGCCAACTAGTACATCGGAGAGGGCCGACTCTTTTGTTTGCACTTGGACAACCGACAAGCTCTGGTGATGAAAGAATCTGAATGTACCACCATCATTAAGGTTGTGACGCAAACTATGATCAATAAAAAGAACATTTATGCCCATGATCACCTTCTTTTTTTTTTTGGCTTGAGGCTTTTTTAGAGTGGCTCCACTTGTGCCCCCTCCTACCCCCACTACCATTGTGTTCATACGGATGTGAGCTTCCTGATGGACCCCCTCACTAGAATCAACTCCTATGCCACAATTGGAAAATCTTATGGGAATTTAGAAAAAGCACTGCCATTCATACCAATATCTTCATCCATAGCTACAAAATCCCTATTCTGAAAAGTCCGCTTAGCCTTTTTCCAATCAAAATGGAAATCATCATCTACCGTATCATTGATAAGAGCAATTTCAAAGGGGTCCAAAAAAGAAACCATATCAACTTGCAACAAATATAGTGAATTGTCATGATTTGAGTCACTTTCTATCACAATACCTTTGCCTTTTTCTATCCTTGATAGCCTCTTAATGACCGGAATAGACTTGAGCAAAAATCTTTTTTCACCATAGTGACAAACCTTCCAAGAGCACCAAGAAAGACCCAAAAACCAGCCAGCGAAAGAGGTATCAAATAGTAAAGAAACTACACCACAAAAACTTAAAAAACACCAAACAAATAGAACCCTAAGTGCAGAGAAGAACCACAACCCACAAACTTTCTAAATATAGCAAGTTAATAGAGATTTCAAGAAAACCAAAGCACAAACCAAGACTAAATCTGGACTGAGAACAAGGGAGGGAAAGACTAGTTCTTCGCCAAAAAAGGAGGTCGAATACGGCTCATAGCACAGTTGATAGATAGATCATACCTTTGCAACCCCCCCTCCCAGGAGAGAGACATGCTCTGATGAAAATGAGTGAGGAGTGTTCTGGAACTCCCTAGAAGTCGCTGGAGATCGCACCGAAAATCGGAAAATCGGCCTGACTTCACGCATTTTCTTTTTGAGGTACCTTTGTTTCATTATTATTTTCTTGTTGAACCATATAATTATTCCAAATTTTAAGGACAAAATACAAAACATTAATGAGTAGTGCTTCTTGGGCCGATTAATTAAGTCTAAGGGTTAGATCGAAATTCATGTCTATTCAAGTAGCTATCGATATGGTTCGTCGTGGTCTTCTTTTTTATTCCCTCTTATTTCTACCTATCAGATCTTAATTATTAAAAACTAAAAAAATAAATATGTTGCATGATAAGTGATTTTCCTTCATAAAAATTGCCACAAATATTTTCATAATATAAGACAATCTCCACCTGATGCGCCAAATCTAATGTAGCAGTCCAACAATTCTATTTTGACATGAGGAATGAAGTCCACCCGATATGCCAAGCATTTGGCATGAACTCAACATGTCAAATTTGACATGCTCCATATTGATGTCAAATGTTAAGTCTATCAGATAAAATAATTTCATTTTTAAAAATAATAAAATAATAGATTTGACATATTGGGTGGAGAGTTTCTATATCAAATCGACACATGTCAATTTGCCACCTAAGCTTTACAAAAAATTTGGCATACCAAAATTTGAATGTTTGGGTGGAGATGCTCTAATTGCTGAATGATTATGGCCAATACTCAGCACTAGAAAGGATTGATTACATTCTGTGTAGATGTGTTTGCAAACTACTGTAGTACTGAACAAAAAGAGAAACAATTATTAAAATCAAAACAGTAGCAACTTGAGCAGATTGGTTCATTCATGCATAATGTTAGCATTGATTCAGAGCCAAGAATATCAGAGGTTGAAATGTCATTGATTTTACGGCAGCAATTTGAAATCAAAGATGCAACAGTTTTGGAACACAATGATGAAGCCATGAAATAAGAAAATTCAGATGTTTAACTGTTAAAAGGGTACTTCCAAGTTCTGTGATTGTTACATAATCCATATATCAAATTTACTACCAAATACGTTGTTCAAACAAAATGAGTTCGTCATGTATATCGTTAATTATTTGAAATGCCTATTGTAATTGCATTGACTCTTTAACTCTGCATATTTAGTGAATCAATTGTGTTGGCAATTTCATTGCAATGATCATATTGAAGCTTGGGCTTGGGTATGGACAGAATAGTCATAAAATCTACTAATTTTACATGGATTTGAATGCTAAAACCAAGCTCTAGAATGCAAGATTATTAAATCGAAGCTATCACATAAAGAAACATTAAAGAATTCCGAAGGAATAGCCTTGAAATCCTAGAAAATATCCTTCGAGGATGCAAAATATTCCACAAATTTTGATTTGGATAAAATATGATGTCTCTTTGACATTTCAGTTCTAACTAATGAAACTCTCAAATGATTTATATCATAGGATGTTTTTGAACTTCATAATAGTGAAACAGAGGTCTAGAAAAAAATATAATAGATAATAATAAATAATGACAACAATAATAATAACAATAAAATAACGTCTTGCTTGCTTCTTAGACAGCGTGAGTAAATAAAAGGTAACAAGACGCAAACAACATATGAATATAGACTTGGAAGGGGATCTTGCAAGCACATACCAAGTTTGGGGAAACAATGTTGGTGAATGTAATTTGAATGAAAATGGTTTAGTGCTCGTCCAACTTGTGTGAACCAGCTTTCCATCAATCATGTTTATTTGCTATCTAGAATCTGAAAGAGCCATCTCGTGGGAAAGCAATCTCTTCTTATCATTCTCATCAAAATCAAGGGTTTCCTTAGCTTCATAATCCATTTCAGTCACACTTATTTCCTTTTCCTGTAGCTTATCAGATCCTGAAACATGAAGTTGAGAGTATTCTTCTCCTGGAGCAGGATTTTCAACCAGTTGAGTATCTGACTCTATTAAAGCATGCATTCTTGCCCGCTCTCTGTCTCTTGGATAACTACAGTGGAGGAAGGAGTATATGAGGCAACATACCGCAAAAGGAATGGCAATTGCTACGTAAAGTGCCTTGGCAAGTGCTGCAGCATTCTCTCTATCCGTTTCAATTTCTTCCGAGTCTGTTGATCCTTTTTTAATTGGTTTGTAACCAAAAACATGCTGTGCCAGAACCCCAACTACAGGCGGAGCAAATGAAGCTAGTATGGACTCAAAAGATCGATCCAAGGCATAGATGCTCGTTCGAGATCTCTCAGGAACTATCTCTGCAAATATTGGACTGTACACGTATCAACAATGAAAAGTTCAATAATGTACTAAATTTTTGTAGTATCACTGGTTCGTGCACAATTGAATATATACCATATTGTATTTTTGATTCACGCTATAACATGCATTCTTGTAATTGATTTGGGGGAGAATCATGTCAAACATGTTAGTGAGAGTGTCATAATCATCCTTACAATCATATCCACATTAGCAAATTTCACAAATATTCAAGGTCCCCTAGAGGTGCAAGTTTAAACTTAAAATTGTTGGTCCATGCCAATCAAGCTCTATTATGCAATATGAGAGATTTAAGAAAGCTCGTATCTCCACTCCCTTTAGTCCATAAACATGAGAAAAAACTATATTCGAGTTTGAAGAGACATACTTGTTTGCAGCTGGAGCATTCCAGGATGTGTAGAATCCCATGATAAACAAGACCAAAGCATGCATAAATGTCGTGGAAGGATCATCAGGCAATACTAACAGCAGTATTGCAGCTAGAGGGACAGCTGAAATGGAGCTAATCTGTGCAAGAATTATTCTCCCAGAATTTGGAAAGCGTTGGGCAAGGATATCCCCCATCCTTCCTCCAAACAGACCACCAAGTGAGCCAGCCATAACGAAAAGGGTCCAAAGTAATGCCACTTTCTTGTGGGAGAAACCAATGAGCTCTAACCACATAGGAGCAAATGACAAAGCTGACCCAGGAAATGATCCTGCGATACCTTGGGCCACAATTATTTGGAAAGACGGTATTTTTATTACTGATTTTGCTTCTTTAACCAGGTCCATCAGTTCAGACAAGAAGGGTTTACGTGGAATTTGAGCTTTAGCATCACTATCAGAAAAGCGGGGATCATTGGCAAAGAGGCGAACCAAAACACCAACTATAACACTAATTAGTCCAACCAGATGGAAAGCTATTCTCCAACCTGGAATACCCATGAATGATGTTGAGGCTATCAGCACTGCACTAAGCCCACCAATGATTGAACCAAAGTTTCCGGTTAATTGTAGCCATCCAAAAGCCATACCACGGTTGGTCTCATCAGTTGAGTCTGCAACTAGGGACTGAATGGCTGGTGTGACTATGGCAAGTCCTATTCCATTCAAACCTCTTGAAATAGCCACCTGATTAACCAGTTAAGACAATTAAGCATTAGATGATGCAATATATTGTGTAAAGGAAGCAAATACTGTGTTACAGAAAACTGACTATTCTCGGCTTGCAAGACATCAATTTTAAAAATTAAAAAATCTCAAGTCCCCCCAACTTTATTTGACATTACTTGAAAATCTATGGAATGTCAACCAACCCTGAAATGAGTTTTTCAATTAGGATTAGTGGCTCTAAATTTTTGAGAAGAGAATCTGGATCAACCAAGTATCGTACACCCAACCCAAAGAAGATAAATTTGTGATAGCTTCACCACTAAAGAAATATAGATATGGATTGGACTCCGCTCTGTGTTCCACTTTGAGCGTTCTGTTATTTACTTATTTATTTTTGATAAATAACCAAACTTTATTAGAAAAGCATCAAGAATATGCAAAGAATACAAACTAGAAGCCACAAAGGCTCAACATATTAACAAGTCAAATCCTCCACAAAATCTACAAATGCCAAAACATCAGGATCAACCGAGCAGGTCAGCTAAGTATGCAAAACGACAAGTAGTCGGCGTTCCAACCAAGGAACCGAATGAGACACCCCTTAGAAAACACGCCTATTACGTTCCAACCAAACCAACCAAACAATACAATGAGAAGCAAGCAACCACGCTTTCCACCGCCGCCTACCAACACGACCCCCCATCCAACTTTGCAAAACCGCCATAACTGAAACTGGTTGCACCCAGGCCAAATCAAAAGTTGCAACCACAAGCATCCATAGGCGATGAGTAACTGGACAATGAACGAGCAAATGGGCCACCGACTCCACTTCACCACAACACATGCAGCACCAATTAACCAATATATGGCCACGGCGAATTAGATTATCCAATGTCAAGATACGCCCCAACATAGCCGTCCACACAAAAAATGCCACCTTGGATGGCGAACCTGACACCTAGACACATTTCCACGGAAAAACAACAGCCTCCGCATGGGCTAGCACTGTATAATACGAGGACACAGAAAACTTCCCCTTAGCCCCAGGACAATTCCACACCAAAGAATCCTGCCCAGCCCTCCCAACTCGCAACTCATATAAAAAACCCAACAACGCCATCAACTGATCCTGCTCCCAATCCTGAATAGCACGGCGCAAGTGCACATTCCAAACAATCGAATCCCCATGGCCACACTTTACATCACCCACCAAAACCTCTCTATCAATGGCAAGAGCATAAATCGAAAGGAACCGCACTTCTAATGGAACGTCACCACACCACCTATCCCGCCAAAATCGAATTCTATCTCCCACCCCTACTTGGAACAGAACCCTCTTCCAAAACTCCTCCCACCCCAACCAAATCCCTTTCCAAAGACCATGGCTATGCGATTGCCCCACCCTACCTGAACACCACCCTCCCTGCCCCACACCAAACTTCGCAACCAAGAGGTAAACCCAGATATGAAACTGGGAGAGGCGCCACCCTACTTTGAGCGTTCTGTCATGGCACCTCCGATTGCTTCTGCTTGCTTTGAGCCGTCTCTAGCTGAGCTGGTAGGAGTGGCTTGTTTCAATAAGTGGTTTCCGTTGAAAGGCTCATTTCACGGCTAAGTTGCTTCCGTTCTCCTCTCCTGTGCTTGTAGCTGTTGACGGTCTTTGTCCATCCCCTACCAACAATATAGAAATGCCCCAGATAACAAGGCAGGATTGAACTCGTACGTCGTCCTCCTTTTTCCAGTGAATCGACTCCATAGAGAGATGGATAGGTAGCCATACCTTTGAAGTGCAGCCTCTCAATCCTGATCATTCCCTCGCCTGTTTCTTTCCCAGACTAAGCAAATGATATTATGGCACGTTTACTACAACATAGCTTGTTGAGTTTAGATGTGTATCTTACGTTATGATTCAAATTGTACTTGGAAATTAAGAAATCATACGTATCATATGCATATATGTTACACCTCTTGCTTTATCATTCACCTAATACAAAAACATTAGTATTAAAATACTCATCCATAAATATTCTTAAATTATTTTAATATTAACAAGAGTGATCATTAGACGAAAGAGAGACTATTTTTTCAATATATTTGAAATTAGAAATGTAGCATTTTTTGCATAGCATTATAATATAATATATGGTAAATTACATTGATAGTCTTTGCATTTTATTCTTTGTATCATTTTGGTCTTTGTAATTTCAATTAGCTTGATTTTGACCATTAATTTCAGATTTTGTGTCAATTTGGTCCAATTCATAATGCCGATTAGTGTTTTTGAAGGAAAATGATCATTAATGAAGTTAACTCACTAAGTTAAATAAGTTTCAATTTTGCCTATAAAAACATAACACAAGTCACTTATGTGTGTATTTTCTATCAAACTTACTACCAAATGTAATCAATTGGACCAAATTGAGACAAAATCATAAATTCGGGATCAAAATCGAGCCCATTGAAATTATAAGGTCCAAAATGACCCAAGGAGGGTTAAAATATGGGGACTACAAATGTAATTTTTCCTATAATATAATATAATTACAAGAATATATACAAGAATAGTTTATCAATACTTTGCTTTTGATAAGAAGAACATAGTGAGTTAAAATAATATTGTAAGGAATTTTCTGTAGGTGGGCCTACATAGATCAAATAATTATACATTGTATTTTGTTAAATGAAGTATGAGTGGTGTCGGTTAGACTCGTTAAATTATGATCCATACAGAAGCATGATCGGGTCATGGATACATCTCTAATAGCACAAATTTTTTGTCATGTTATGTGCACTAAAAGAGTATGGGTTAAACCATATGTGTAGAGACCAGTTTAGGCCCACTTGTAAAGGCTTTATAAATATATGGTTAAGGTCCCCACTTCAACCCTAGCCTCCATCTTATATTTTCCCATCAGTGTGTGAGAGCAAACATGAGCAGGGTTTTGGAGCGGAAGACAATAATCATTAAGAAGTCTACCGCTAAGGTTAACTCTATTAATGGTGTAGATACGCAACTATTATTGTCTTCTTCTATTGATTTGACTTGAGATTTTGGGGTTAAGATTTCTTTTGAAATCCCACAAGTGGTATCAGAGCTTCTTGTCAGATCATTGAAGAAAATATAAAGTTTATTTTCTTTAATTAGTAGATTTTTTTTTTTCCAAGCCATGTGACAATTTAATATCTCTATTTAGTTTTATTGTCACCGTATCAATCAGTATACATATTTTATTTTTTGCCTCTGCATATGATATTTTCAAATTGTTACCTATTACCGTAATAGTGGTTTCATGACATAGGTCAAGATTGAAGGCCATTCAAAGATTTAATGGCTTCTTTGCATAGACTTTTGTTCTCAAATATATATTAATTATTTGAAGGAGATATAAGGCTATTGATATGTGATCTATGTATCCTACGGCTAGCGTCGGTTTCTTGCATTAGTACTTTTATTTATAATTATTATGGATTGTTGACTAATCGTGTATGTATATCATTATGATTTCCACTGCGCAATATACAATGTTGTCATACCCATGGCATGGTTTGAGTTCATGTTCTCTTATTTGTCATTGATTAATATAATAACAATTATTATTAAAGCAAAAGGCAGCCTTGTTGCATCATGTATAGAATCTTTTTATGGTCATGAATCTAGTTTGATTAGGTTCTTTTTTATTTATACATTCTTATTGTGGTGCTGTCAATAACCATATTGTTTTGTGGTTATGATTGCACTATTTATTTGAATACAGAATATTGAAGTTGAATTATTTTGGGCATAAGATTTCTTCGCAATTCATACCTAGAATTTAAGATAATTGAAGTGATATACCACCTAAGTGGTCTCTGACATGTAAATTTTCTTGAATTCGAGATAAAAGTTTCGGATTGCATATGGTTATGTCTAGATTCATGCAAGTACTAATTGGCCCATAGGAAAGTTATTATTTTGGCTGGATTATAGACAATCCAAGGTGTGGGTGATATAATTATGGGATTAATCTATGCATTCAATAGTCGGCCCAAAGGAAGACTTATTGTTTGGCCAGACTTATTTTTACATTATTCATATTAATTAGCCTCATTGGGAAAAAACCACTTGCATGTTACAATACTTGTTCAAAGACTTGCTTGTAATGATGGATTAGGTTTCTCATGAGGGCCCATTATTACAGATTTAATTTTTGTTATTAAATTTAATGCCCTATAGTCTAATTTATTGCCCCTTTGATTAGACTAATTTTTTTTGCATGATAATAATTATGGTTTTATGCTTTTATCAATGCATTAAGGTAGATGGGACATTTATTAATTGTGAGATTCCTTTTCTTTTGTATATAGTGAATACATCTTCTATATTTGCCAGTTTGAACAGTATTCCAATTCTTAATGGTTCTGACTTTAAAAAGTGGAAAGAGCATGTTACCATTGTTCTTGGGTGTATGGATTTGGATTATGCGCTTCATGTTAATAAGCCTTCTGCACTTACAGATAAAAGTTCGACTGATGAAAAAGCTGCATATGAAAAGTGGGAACGTTCAAATCGCATGAGTCTTATGATAATAAAGCATTCTATCTCTGACACAATTTGAGGTGCAATTCCTAAGGAACAGAACGTCAAGAAATTTTTAAGCCAAATTGCAGACCGATTTGTTGCATTAGAAAAGGTGGAGACAAGTAAGCTTCTTAGCAAACTTGTCGCCCTGTGGTATAATGGCAAAGGAAATATAGGAGAGTACATTATAGAGATGTCTAATCGTGTTACTAGAATGAGAGCTCTAAAGTCAGAATTTTTTGATGAAATTCTTGTGCATCTCATTCTGATTTCACTTTTTGGTCCCTTTAAAATTAATAATAATTGCTGAAAATTTGTGTTAATCCATATAATATGATAGTGGTGTTGGTGGTAGATAGTGGCATGTATATAATATGATAGTGGTAGATAGTGGTAATATATAATATGTAAGTGGCATATAATGGGTTATAATGATGTTTGTAATATCTCCTATATAAGG